ATACACTGCATACCATATTTATTCACATCCAAGATGAGATTGCTTCCCCATTCAACATGAGGGGGGAAAAAGCCTTCTCCTGGATTCAGGTATCAGCCTGGGGCAGGCAGTGGCTATGGTTCTACCTTCACCCCTGACCCAGGACCAGGACTAGAGCCAGAGCCATACCTGCTGCCTACCATGGGTCGAGACTGAAACTGCTATCACCACTGCCACTGCTCCTTGGTCAGGGCCAGAGCCAGAGCTGGAAGGGGAAGGGGAAGGGGCTGACAGGTTGTTAGGGGTTGGCAGGCACTGGGGGAAGAGGAAGACAGGTGGCAGGCGCCAGGGAGGCAAAATGGCAAAGGAGCAAGGTGCAGGTCAGGCTACCTGCCCCCTTCCACTTCCCTCCCCACTACCTCTTCCTCATCACTGCTTTCCCTGTGCCCTGCCTCACTGCAATGGAGAGAGGGACAAATTTTAAATGACTCTCCAATAGAGGGTCCAATAGAAAAAATGTGAGCTCTCCATCCTTGGAAGTTTAAGAGAAGGTTTGACAGATATTTGGCTGGGATGATTTAGTCAGGGATGATCCTGCCTTGAGCAGGCGGCCAATGAGGACCCTGTGAGGTTCCTTCCAATCTTATTTTCCCAGGGCTCTACACTGTTCGTAATATTTATAGGAAAGGTATAAACAGAAATTTCCCAGCTTCTTCTATAAAGTTGGTAAATGTCTTTGTTCATAATGTTTTCGATCAAAAAAATTTTTTTTTCATCAGAACAAATGTTTGCAGGAAGTGACAATGACATTTCAACTACCAATAAAGAACTGGGGTTTTAAGAAACCAAAACGTATTCTTTTCTATTGTGGAATGTCTGATGGAAAAAACTGAGGGGTACATAAAACTCCATTTTTTCAAAATCTTCTGCAGAGAAGATTTTGATCAGTCCCAGCTCTCCTGAGACTGTTCTCCCAGATATACTATAGAAACTTAGATTTGTAAACCTACTGTAATACTATATACACACAACCGTTTGACACTAATGAAAAAGCAAGTTTAGTCCATTGGCCATGAGCTTTACCTTTGCCATCTGCTGGATGATTGCATTAAATTCATTAACTTCTAAATCTGGAACTAGAAGAGGTAATCTAGGTATCGCTGATTTTGACAAGTTTCCATTAGCAACTGATTTATCGGCAAACACTAGTACCCCCTTCCTAGTAAAGTCAAAGTCTACTGAACGGTCTGAAGGCATGTAATTGAGCTGTTGAAATAAACAGAAAGATTTTGTCAAATGCCTTCTTCAAAACAGTAATAACAACATAAAAAACATTTCCAGATATAAGATTTAGTACAAAGACATCCATGTAAATGGGTTAGCATTTTAAATCAGAACATTAGAATTTGGAATGTGTATCAGCATTGCCTCAACTTCACTGTTGCATAAAAGGATAAATAGCACACACATATATTTAGAGTTCACATCATTTTCCTTAAAAGAGAGAGAGACAGAAAGAGAGACACCGGGGGGTGGAGGGAAGGAAAAAAAGAACAGCAGAGAATTCAGCATCATTTGGGAAAAAAAGAGTGGGGGGAGGGGGGACAGCATGGTAGCAAGAGCAGTCCCTTTAGTTTTTTAAGAATTTCTATTTTTAATACAATCCAACCACATTTCAGATGTTTTTAAAATGCAAAAGCATTTTCCTCTTCAAACTTTTCTGCCTATTTTCATCCCACTTACTCCTCCTCTTGGTTTCACCCCTCTTTCTTGTCTTTTCCTACTCTCCCATTTTCACCTTCCAGTCCAGAAGCTAACATACATGGAAGGAGCAGGTGTTAGGTTTCAGACTCTTGGTCAAATCATCTACTTCCATTAAAAATGTAGGCATCCAAGTCCTATTTTGAGACTGACTCTGGCACTTAGGAGCCAAAGGTTAAATCTACCCTTGGAAAGTTTTGCCCATGTAAGTATATTACTCTGGCAAAACTGCACTTTTGTGATGGCACTCATTCAAACCTCCGTAAGAGTCCTGTTGCTGTAAATGCAAGGACACAAGAAGCACAGCTATGGCAGTCACAAATCTTGCCTCATCCTACCCCTAAGATAGCTAGGTTTGCAAAAGTCCCTGGTATAGAGCAATTGAAAATCCATGATGTATGCCCTTACATCACCCAGGTACTTCTGAAATTTTTACCACATTTCATGAGTCTTCCTTTATGCAATAAGTTTAAACAAAGCATATTACCATTCAAGCACACGCAAAGCAGAATAAGCCACAGATTGTTTGAGCCGTCTCCAGTGCACAGTCCATGCTTAGCACCTGGGTGCATCTGGTCCTCAAGCCACAAACTGCACGTGCTATCATTGCTACAGGTTGGATTTCAGTTTATAGCAAAGCCAGTTGACTTAAAAATGCTGAAAACTTCAGCTGGGAATTATGAATATTGATGAGCTAAGCTGGAAGAAGAATCCTCACCTAAACAGGAGTGCTCAAGAAGTGCACTTTGAAAGGAATCTTAAGAAAATCAATTCATCAAATACTAGTTTGGAACATCCCAGAAATAATTTCAGTATGCACTTACCAGAAACAATGTTCTTACATTTATGGCATTTACATACAGTTTTTCTACTTCAGCGATGCCTATAGAATTTTTTGTTTTGAAGGCAGAATTAAAAATGACAGTGTGCCTACAGAGATCACTGCTGCTCAGAGCATACAAAATGAGTCCCTAAGTCTTCTGGCCTGGTTCAACTATTTGCATGACAAATTGGCAGTAAAAGTGAATGTGACACAGGCCCTCATCACCCTAGGGCCTCAATACCATTGGTATGTCCACACTGCAGTCAAAGAATTACCTGCAAGATGGTACAGACACTGCTCACACTGGCAGCAGCCTAGCCATAGCAAAAGAGAACTTAATGACGGCTAATTGACTCTAATGAAAAATAAAATAAATTAGCCTATTTTGTGCTCCATGCTTCTGCCTCTGAACTTTTACCAATACCTGAGATAGCTTGGTTATTTCTACACCAGCAGCCAGCAATCTTTTTGTGGTGTCAGGCCAATGACCTGGCTCAGGACTGAGGTGTGCCAGTACCAGGACTCAGCTGCTGCTGTCGCCACCACCTCTCTCTTCTGTCCATCGACTGCTTTCCCTCTCCTAATAGCAGCTCCTGCCAGGCTTCCCTACTCCCTCCCTCTTTGCCTCAGGCTGCCAGCCTGGGGCCAGTGTCTAGCCATGCCCTGCCACTTGATCAGTGAGTGGGGGAAAAGCCTGGCAGGGGCTGCTTCCCCTCTCCTCCTCCAGGCAAAACCCTAGCTAGGGACCATGCAGGCCAGAGTGGGGGTTTAAACCCCTCCCCAGTCATACTCAGCAGCCTGCTGGGGCCAGGCCATGCCCCCTATCTCAGCTTGAGCAGGGAGGAAAAGCCTGGAGGTCTTCTCTCCCAGCTTCCCGCCAGCCTTCCATCCACTGCCAGAGGGAAGGGAAGGCTGCTCTAGCACCCCAAATCCTAGCCTGAGCCACTGAAGGCATGTGGCTGGATTTCCAGAATCAAACATGAATGTCTGTTCACTTGCTTCTACGTTCAAGCTACACAGTTTAGATTAATCTGAAAACGACCGAGCTAATTCAGGCTCAGGCTTTTTGAATGTCTGTACTTAGCCCTAGAATCCATGGGCTGGATCCAGTGGCTCACACATTGTTAGCTCCTGCTGTACCTTTTACAGCAGTCACTAACCCAAAGACCAGTTTATAAATGGTATATGCGGTGACACATGCCTACGTATCACTTTTTAAATACTTAGGTAAATATGCTCGACATCATAACCAAATCAGTCATTTGAAGCTTACCTGTTCCTTCAGTTGCTTGATGGACTGCTGAAGAGTCAGTATCTGGTTAAAGAGGGGGCTCCTGAGTGTGTTATGCAAAATAGTCAATTTTTCACTCTGTGAAGTGTCTCCTTTTTCACGTAGTTTCATTTGTAGACGATCCAGGATCTGCAGCACCTGCTGCTTGTCTGATGCCCACCAAATAAGACAGGTTAGAAATTTGTTTTTGTCTTTCACCACTTAACAGAATAATTATTCTTGAAATACCTACCTGCTGCAGGATTTTCAGGCATGTTGAAATCGTACGCGTGGAATCAGACAGAAAACCTAGAGGAAGTTTAAAACAAAAATATAATAAAGCAAGAAATCCAGTGCCAACTAAGTTACATCTTTTGACAAATTGCTAATAAAGGGACAGTTAAGAAAAAGCATACTCTCTCACTTTCATTTTAATTCACTGTGGTTAAAGCAGAACTTAAACTGTTTTAAGCATTTTTTCCCCATTTTGTTTAAGTCGTGCCTTTGACATGACTTTCATTACAGTCATTTCACTGTTATCTCTTATGGTCAGGCTGTTTTCCCTTATATCAGGGGTTGTCAACCAGGGGTACTTGAGAAGGCCCTAGGACAGGGGTGGCCAGCCGTTGGCTCTTCAGAAGTTAATATGCATCTCCTTGAATCTTTGCACAAGCACACAGTGACCAGCTTCCATATGGACACATGGGCTGTCACTGCCCCACACTCGGCTACATGCCATGCCCCCCCCACTCTGCGTTTGGCTGCATGATCCCCACCCCCGCTGCATCTGGCCACCAGGGGTACACTGCTCCGTGTCTGGCCGCCGGGGGTACACTGACCCAAAAAGGTTGAAAACCCCTGCCCTATATTGTTTCTATAGCTCTTCCACACACCAGGAGAAGGGAGAAGCACGCCTTCAAACATGAAATAGAATTATTATGAAGAACATAAAAGTTGGCAGGGGAGGCTGAGGGTGTGAAAAAATGGCAAACAAGCAAGTTAACAAAGGGTGGGACTTACAGGAGAACAGATGATGTTTCCCTACCTGCTCTTACCTCCCAAGAAGCAAGAGCTGAAACAGGGCTAATTTGCCCCAGTTTTGCTCTCATTCATGCAGAGTAAGAGCAGGCAGAAGAACAGTTACTGTGGAGCAGCTGATGGGCAGTAACTCCTCACTCCACCTCCTAACTTGCTAAGTTTTGTCCAAACAACACACACAGCAGCTGTGTTAACCCAAAATGTAGTCCACTAAAAACACAGTTTGGTTTAATGGCCCATCAAATGTATAAAACTGTTGAAATTCCACCGCCATTACTGAAAAGCTACTATTCCCCGTGGATTCTGGACAAGCTTGCTGTCTCCTCATAGTGGCAGCTCAGCCCTACGATCTGATTGTGCCAGTTACAGCTATGCCAGATTATGCTGCTGAAGTCGGTGGTGCCTCATCCACAAGAGAAACGCTAGAGAATCAAGATCTAAAATTGGTCTAGCTCAGGGCTTTGCCCCGGTGGCCTGCAGACCAGCTGCAGCCTTGCAACTCATGCTACCTAACTGCAGGCGCGGCTCCCTTCCGCCTCCTCCCCAAATTGTGCTGCTGCTGCCACTATCTCTGGGCTCTCCCTCCCTCCTCCAGCCCCTGGTCAGGTCCCCCACACAAGGGGACAGGGGCGGATCCAGGGGAGGTGCAGTGGTCCATTCCTACTCCATCCAAACTTTAAAAGCAACTGCTTGGGAGAAGCAGTGGCTTTTCTATTCAAGGAGCAGTGAGGGAGTCAATGGATTTCAGGACTCATTATAATCTACCTGATTACTCATTGTAATCTGCCTGATTGCTGCTAATCTCTCTTCACTTCACAGAAGTTAACAACCTTGTCTCCTTTTTAATGGTCTTGATGCTTCACTATTCAAGTTACCCTTCTGCAGTGCGGCTGTTCCCCATCCCTGGTGATGTCGTCTTCTGTTTCATAGCCCTGCAGACTTTTAATAGCTCCAGCTAGAAACCTTAATTCAGGTGTGGTAATATTAACTCAGGCACAGAAATGACTAACACTGAAGTACTGGAAACACTATCAAGGCACTCAAGAAAACTAGATTTTTTATTTATGACCCTGAATAAGAGACGTACATTTTAGCCATCATGAATTAAACCATAACTTTTGACTATGCCTAATTTGTGTTTTATAAAATGTAATAGATAACCTAAGACACGAGTGTACCTTCCAATAAAATTATATTTGTTTTTGCTTTGATCTTAAACTGAATAATGGAGCATGAGGCCCCCAGCATATTAGTAGGGATGTACTGAAATTGTGATTTTGTGATTTTTTTTGGAAAATGCAAAATCAGGCATTTTCTGTGAAAAATAAGAGAAATCCTTGAAAAAAAAGGAGCCCTGCAAAAAAGTGGGGAAAAGTGGAGCTCTGTGTAAAAATAATTTTTTTTTTCTTTTTTCCCGCCCTGGGCAGCAGCCCCTGCCCCTGGCTGCTCTCATGCAGCCTCTCAGTCCTGCAGCCTGGGCAGACGGGGACAGGTCCAGCCCTTTTTTTTCTCTTTTTTCTCTGAAGCCTGGCCCAGCTGGGCTTCTCCCAGCATGTGGGTGCTGCAGAGGGTAGGAGCCAGGGCCACAGGGAACAGAGCCAGAGCGGGGTGCGGGGTGACAGCACGGCCTGGCTGGGGCAGGGGGGCAGTGACAACCTGTCCCTCCCACATGGGGTCAGGGAGGGGTGGGGAGAGAAAGGCTGGGCCAGGAGAAGCAGAGCTGGGTCAGGGCAGGGGGCCAGCGGTAACCCTTCTCCGCACTCACGTGGGGCCAGAGATAGCTTATCTTCCCCCTGTGCAGACCAAGGCTGGGCAGGGACCAGGGCCAAGCCAAGCCAGGAGGGAGTGGAGCAGTGACAACCCATGTGTCTGCTGGCCACCCCAGCCGATCAGAGGGCGTGTATAGGGGAGGGGAGGTGGCTGCAATCTGGAGCCCAATGAGCCTGCAAAATTTGGCCCCAGACTCCACAATTTGAGTACATCCCTACACATTAGTCAAGCTTCTAGTTTCTCTTTAACCGAAGAAAAATATTTGTTGTGTTAGGTGTGATGATGCACCAAGTCATGTGCACCCCCTTTTCAAATGTCTACATCCACCCATGCAGGGGGGTCCTGTGGCCTGAGGACTATGCATCCCCAGGCACTCAGAAGGTGGACGTCTCTGGTCTAGTTAATAAGACAATGGCCTGGGAACCAGAAGAGCCAAGTTCTATTCTCTGTCATGCCACAAACCTACTATACAAACATCTACCTCTATCCCCATGCCATACTTTGCATTACCTAACCTAGTTAGACCACCTCCTATAGAAGAGGCCGTTTTTTACCATATTTATGTACAATGCCTAGTGCAATGTGGCCCTACTTATTGCCGAGGCTTCTAGATGGTAGTATAACAAAAAAATTAAGTCCAAGTAGTGTCTCATTATAAGATCAAGCCCTTATTTGCATATTATTACTTTGGATTTATACAGGCTTGTCTTGTTTAGACCAATATATAAGTAATAAATAAGATCTAGTCATGTGCTGCAGCTTCCTGTGAACAAAAACAACTTTTTACTACTGTAACTTATGTTGGGTAATTATGTCAGATATAATTACATAATTTTGAAATAAACGTCAATATCAAAGATAAAACCCTCTTCTCCTATAGATGATAACTAGAACCAGGTCAAACATGCATAATGAAACCTGGAAGGTAAAAGGCCACTGATTATAGAAGAAGAGAGCAGTCGGCTGAGGACGCTGGAGGGAGCACACGGTGCCCCCGGTATCCCCCGACCCTTGAGGCAGTGGCGGCAGCAGCAGCAGCGATTGGCAGCTAAGAGACAGCTGCGGCAATGGGGGAAGGGAGCGAGTGGGGCCAGAGCTGGCGATTGGGCAGGGGACTCTTTCCCCGCCTGACCCTATTTAGCCACACCAGGCAGGAGCCGCGCGAACAGGGAGCGCAAACAGGCCTCCGAGGAGGGACCCCGCCTACCAGAAATAACACTATTTTATACTTTGTTAGTACATCAGCGTTAGTTCGTGATTAGCTTGTGCTTGTAAAAATACCCAATCATCTATTAACTAAATCACTATTCTATCCAATCAAGCGGCACCGTGAGCATGAACACCAAAGTTTAACTCTCATGACTACATGCCCCATATATTTTTGCCCAGATGTATCTTATCTTATAAAAACAATCCTTGTACCACCTTCAAGGTTTCTCTGTTGACGAGACTCCTCTGTTGACTGGA